CTTTCAGTATCGGTGGCGCCCCTCAATGTGATGGTGCCGCCCTCAAAGTGCCGGTGGCGCCCCTGAATGTGATGGTGCTGCCCGCCAACGAGTCGCTGGCGCCCCTTAACCCTCGCCCATGTAGGGGGGGGGTTGGTGCAACCCCCCCCTGAGGTTTTTCGGAAATAGTGCAAAAACGGCGGCGCGCAGCGCCGCCAAATTTTGGGTACCTTATGGGGCAAGCCTTGCGCATCTTTTGATAAAAAAAATTTGACCGGGTCATGTCAGGTCACGGAGTTATGACGTCACAAAGGGAACAGCCTCCGGCCGGATTTTCACAAACTGAGTGCCAACGCCCGAGGTTTCCTGCCGGTGGTACGGACATCGGTTGATGGATCGTGATGAAACTTCCCATGCATGTTGGGGCAAGTATTGGCTATCATATGGTATAAGAAACTTGACCGGGTCAGGTCAGGTCACGGAGCTATGACGTCACAAGAGGAACAGCGTCCGGTACTATTTTTGAAAAGCGCCCGAACCACTATTTTGCTAATTCTTGTCACCTCAATGGGAATATGCAGCAATATTAGCTTCTATAGGGAGCAAATAGACCTCCCAAATCCAAAAATACAATCAGATTTCAAAAATTTAAATTTTGATTTTTCGAATTTCTGCCGCCGACTGTGACCTTGCCGACTTCCGGCCGCTCCCAACGCGCCATTTTTAGAGCTAGGGAAACGAAATACATACCAAACGATAGAGAATTGATCAAGGAACACGATAGTGAAGGTTTCAAGTCGATATCTCCCACTGTTTTGCCGCAATCGCCGCGGAAAGTTGACAAAAGTCTATTTTTCCGAAAATTTGACCTTTGACCGGTCAAAAGTAGGTCAAATGTTGACCTAGGACCAAAAAATATACCACCAATCGCGAGATCTCGTTGAGAGCAATCCGTTGGTCTTTTCCGCTAAGCTCTACGACGCTCCGTTTTCAAACGCCAAGGGGGGGGTCGCACCAACCCCCCCCCCCCTGCATGGGCGAAGGTGGCAGATCGCCGTTTACGGGCGAGGGTTAAAATGATGCTGCCGCCCCTAATAGTGTCAGTGACGCCCTTCGAAGTGTCGGAGGAACCAACCAATATGATGGTGCCGCCCCTCTAGATATCCACATAGCCCCTCATTGTGATGGAGCCGCCCCTCAAGCAGATGATGCCGCCCCTCAAGAAGATGATGCCGCCCCTGAATGTGATGGTGCTGCCCGCTAACGAGTCGATGGCGCCTCTCAAAATGATGCTGCCGCCCCTTAAGTGTTAGTGCCGCCCCTTATAGTGTCAGTGACGCTCTTCGAAGTGTCAGAGGAACCCACCAATGTAATGGTGCCGCCCCTCTAGGTATCCACATAGCCCCTCATTGTGATGGAGCTGCCCCTCAAGCAGATGATGCCGCCCCTCAAGAAGATGATGCCGCCCCTTTCAGTATCGGTGGCGCCCCTCAATGTGATGGTGCCTCCCTCAAAGTGCCAGTGGCGCCCCTAAATGTGATGGTGTCTCCTGTCAACGAGTCGGTGGCGCCCCTCAAAATGATGCTGCCGCCCCTAAAAGTGCTGGTGCCGCCCCTTAAAGTGTTAGTGGCGCCCTTCAAAGTTTTGGAGGAACTCATCAGTCATCAATACAATGTTGCCGCCCTCTAACTTTCTGTAGCGCCCCTCCATATACATAATGCTTCTCAAACCATCCGTGGCGCCCCTCAAAGTGATGGTGCCGCCCCTTACAGTGTCGGTGGTTTCTCCTCAAAAGTCAAGGTACCGCCTCTCAAAGAAATGCTGGTGTCCCTCGAAGTGTCGGAGGCGCTCCTCAATGATGTTGCCGCCCCTCAAACCTTCCGTAACGCCCCTCCACGTCATGGTGCCGCCCCCCAATGTGCTCATGGCGCCCTTAAATGTGATAGTAACGCCGGTCAAAGTGCTCCTGGCAGTGTCGGTGGCGCCCCTTATAGTGTCGGTGGCGCCCCGAACAGTATCGGTGGTGCCCCTCAAAGTGATGATGTCACCCTCAAACAAACGGTGGCGCCCTTCGAAGTATCGGAGTCCCTAAATATCATACCTATTGCCACCCATTAACCATCTGTAGCGCCCCTCCATATGATGAAGCCGCCCCTTAAAGTATCCGCGGCGTTCCTTAAAGTTACAGTGCCGCCCCTTACAATGTGGGTGGCGTCCTCAAAATAAAAGTGATGTTGCCCCCCTCCCCCCCCGAGTAATGTTGGCGTCTCTTCTTTAAGTATCGGAGGCGCTCCTCATTGTCAACTGCTCACATGGCGCGCTTCAATGTAATGGTGCCACCCCTCAACGCTCAAAGAGATAATTGCGCTCCTCACAGTGTCGGTGGTGTCCCTCAAAGTGGTTTAAGTGCCCTAAAAAAAAATTGGTGGCGCGCCTCAAAATGATGCTGTCGTCCCTTAGCATATCTGCAGCGCCCCCAAAATGATAGTGCCTTCCCTTAACCGGCGCCGGGCTGAGGTTGTTTGAACCCCCCTCCCGACCCCTGTAACTTGGCTACTTGGGCCACGTAGCGACACGCGGTAAGCGGTATTCGAAGGAGTGTTAAAACTACTTGGGTTAGTTGGTTAACCGTACTTTGGTTAGGTCAAGTCAAATGTCAAAAATCAGGTGACCAGAGGTCATCAATGGTGAAATGTGGGTGAAATGTTGTCTGTTTAAACATTTATTGACAAACTGGCGCATAACTCGTGGAAGAATAGAACTACAGCACCGCGAAAAAGCGCATTCGATAGCTCTTCAACGTTCCTATAAAGTCCTCAGACTTGACCTAACATCAACGACTTAACCTCCAGAGCACAACTTGTTTAACCCGTGTCGGGCCGGGGAGGGTTAAAAGGGACAGTGGACCCCCTCCGCTCCTCTACTGAGCTGTTTTAATGAAGAACCTTTTTACTTTAATAATTATTGACTCACGAAAGTTATGACATCGTTTTTTTTCAGTACTGCGCTCCTCTCGTCGAGATGCGTCGAATGAACTATAATTTGACATTCAAATGTCATTTGGGAAATTTGAGCTCAGGTCCAGGTCATGACCTGACTGGTAAAGGTCATGTTGCATATCAGTCGATTTGTATCGTCAAACTGAAATCATCTAAGGTGTTTTCATCGCTCAGGCATATCGCATGTCTCTATCAGAGTTATTGAAAAAAAACCTGCTGAAGGCCTACCAATCCATGACCTGACATGACCTCAAGGACATAACGAGGGGTCGTGGGTGGCATTTTTCCGATTAAGTGTGTCATTTTTAATTGTTTTCTGATGTTTAAATTCGTTAACTTTGACATTTGTCTACCTATAAAAAGAGGCGCATGCCCCGACTTTCTCCCATTTCCTTATACCTAATGGAAGGGTCGCAAAATTGTCCTTACCTTTGGTCAAAGACATCGCAATTTCGAGACTTACATTTTATGTACTTACAGTGACACACTGTTTGTCTTATCAATCGCTGAAGTTATAAAGGGATCGTTCAGTCGGTATATCTATGGTGAGCATTTGCCTGTTCCGTAGCTCAGTTGGTAGAGCACCGGACTCCCCGCATTGTCTCCGCTTGCGTTTTGTCCGCCGGCCGAGCCGGAGAGAAAGTTACCGAGTGAAGGTCATTCAAATTTCAAAAATTCAATGACAATGTCACTGGGGTCACCAAAATGTTTGAGTAGGTAGGTATAACATTCATTAACTGGGGGGGGGGAGGGATGAACTTATCTGTGCAATACGCTGTTCATTACGCGAGTAACTAATAAATAAAAAATGTATGAGTTCATCCTTACTCCACCCGCTCTCCCTCTCCATAAAAAGAGAGTTTAAATGTGTTGCATTTTATTTATACCTATGCAGAAAAATAGAGACGTCTAAGGATATGGCCGAATATCAGCGACCCTTGCTGTGTAAGCAATGAGGTATGACAAGTGGGGTAATGGCCCCGTCCAGCGCCCATAAAGTGGGCACCACTCGTGCGACCTGCCGACCACTGTTCTAGATAGAGCCATAAAACGCGTGAATGTTTTAAGCTTGACGATACGGATCGACTGGTATGCAACATGTTCTTTTTCTGGTGAGGTCATGAACTTGACCTCAGGTAAAATTTTAATTTTTTTTTGTAAAATCAAATTGTATTTCATTTATCGCATTATGATGAGAGAAAAACTATATCCCGGAAATATCGCTGAGCTTAGGTTGAATCTGAAATCATTACTTAGAAAGAGTTATAAAAGAACCGTCGAATGTGTCTTTTTTGGTCATTAAATATCAGTAGGTATGCCGCCCCCTCAGATGCCAAGTGCCGCCCCTATGAGTGCAAAATGCCGCCCCTAATTGTGATTGCCGACCCAGTGAAAATCCCTTAAAATACGCCCTGCTCTGTAGAAAGGAGGCCCCCGGGATTCCTCCGCCCCTCCCTTGGCCAAATCCTAGCTACGTGCCTGATGCACCCACTTATGTGTGATTTTTTTGCAGCTTCAGTCGTCTAAACTGTGTCGCGAGGCTCCATCCGCGGCAGAGACCTATTGCACGAGCTGTCTCCTCTTCAAATGGCCCGTGCTCACTCAGGTGGGTACAGTTATCGGATTCGCCGTCCGTGCTTAGCGCGGGGCGCTCGAGCCCCTTGACCCACGTGTAATTATCGATTTCTTTCAGCCTCCTTAGATCAGTGAAACCGGCCCTGTATCGATTTTCCTCGTGCCTGGCTTTGAATGGCTCCGCCAAGCGGCAGTAATGGTCTGAGGCCGACCGGAGCCGCGCCGAGACAGAGGGTGGAACTGAGACGGAGACAGAGAGCTGAACTGAGACTCAGACAGAGTGCGAAACTGAGCACTGAGACGAAAGGCGGAACTGAAAAATGAGGCAGCATTCGCGTTACACTCGGAACTGATAATTCAGACAACGTATGTACATTCGTACTACATTCGGAACTGAGAACTGAGGCAGTGCTCATACACACACTACCTACCTACTGGGCCCAGTTTCACCAAGCTCTGTTTGGGGTAGTTTCGGCGAAACTACCCCAAACCAGTTTCACCAAATGGGGTAGGTTCTGATTGGCCACTTCCAAACTACCCCATGGGGTAGTTTTTATTTTACCCCAAATTTGCCATGCAAACAGATGCTCACGGTCCGTGAGCATCTGAACAAGCCAATCAATCAGCTGTTTGCCGGCAATTCTACCCCAAATATCCGACCAAAATTACGGCTGACATTCGTGGGGTAATCTGTGAATATGATACGAATTGTGAGCAACAATTGACAGTAAAATAGTAATAAGAACATATTTTATTGAAGTCCAATCACCTGTCATGTTTGAGTATGCATTATTCATAGCATAGATACTTCAAGTTTCATCCAAATATTTTACTGCATGTAGCCTGCACCACCTATGCTTGTGATCTGCATTGCAACACCCAAAAGAAGCATTATAGATGTCGCCGATAGCTGAATGCCAGGATTTTTACTTTTTTAACTATTAAAGGTTTTCCTTCAACAGTGACCTTGAATACCGGATGAGGAAGCCTTGAAATATAAACAATAAAAATGCACATTCTTCACGGTGGTTATCTACATGCTGACGATGTGTCTTGTTGAAATGATCATAGTACTTCAACTTGTGTGATCTATTCAAATTATCATTCGAGGTATCTATATGCCTTACGGTCAATGTGCAAATATCCAGCAAATGTCAAGACGCTAACAACTGAAATAAAAACCAGTATAGCGCCTTTTGGGGCGACTAACGGAGCGAGCGAGAGGGTGAGCCTTGCACGTGCGAAATTTCGAGGGGGTACCTCCAACTGACTTGTGCACGGCACCCTACTAACCGGTCTCTAGCGATGTGCCAAATTTGAGCACAATCGGCCCAGCCGTTCTCGAGATCTGGAAGCGGCACCCTGCACGTGCGCACGTGCAAAATGGGTCCCAACTGACTTGTGCACGGCACCCTACTAACTGGTCCCTAGCCGTGTACCAAATTTGAGCGCCATCGGTCCAGCCGTTCTCGAGATCTGGAAACGACCCCTGCACGTGCGCACGTGCAGCAGCACCCCAACTCTGGCACATGGATATGCAGTGCCTAGTGGGTGCCTACCTACATGCCAACTTTCAGCGCAATCGGCCAAGTAGTTACCGAGATATTGCAACAATTACAAAACTGACACCTCTTCGTTTTGCACGTGGCACGTGCATAAGGGGTCACCCACATGCATCGGGAATAGTCCAATGCTTGGTAGAAGGAATGAAGCTACCCTACAAAAATTACCCCGTGTAAATCGGTCAAGTGGTTGCTGAGATATAAGCCTCGCAAAAGCGTCCGCACGGCCGGCCGGCCGGCCGGCCGGCCGGCCGGCCGGCCGCTCATACTCAGAAATTTCCGTTAATCTAAGGAAAGACTACGCTCGCTTCGCTCGCTCCGTAATAAAAATGCCGTACCTAAATCAGCAAGAGAATGTCGTGCATACCTAGGTAATTCTCATTAGAAATAAAAAGCAAATGGTGCAAGTAATGCGTAATAAGCAGTTGTTAAAAATACCAGGCCAAGTGGATTCGATACTTTCCATATCTATTTTTTTATTTTTGTCGCTGTTGTGCATATCTCAATAAAGTTGCGTTAAATGGGCCGTGCATCTGTAGGTACTGTATGTATTTTGTAATGCACATTAGAAATAAAAGCATCTGGTGCAAAAGATTCGTAGTTAAAAGTCGCCAAAAATACCAAGCAAGGTGTATTCGATACTAGTAAAACATGCACTAATTTACTGAAACATTCTAATTATAAAACACTAGGTAAACATCTAATCTAATCTAAATCATCTAATTTAAACCACGGTGACTATAAATAATTTAAACATCTAATATAAACATCAAATTTACTAAAACACTTATTAATTTTAAAACATTCGATACTATTCGATAATAAAACATGCCATTGTTCTGTAACCTATCCATCAAGATTCGCGGTTGTGCATTGCCATTCCTTTCTCAATAAAGTTGTGAATCTTGGAAACTGAGGTGCCATTGTGCCATCGTTACCAAGGTGATTGGTAGACAAATACAAGAAGCCAAATCAAATGTGTTCTTCATTTCACGCCGTCGTGAAATGAAATTCTCGACCAATCAAAACGTTCCGTTGTTTTGCTGATGCTGCTTGCTTAGCAAACATTCACAAGAGACGCCGAAACTACCCCATGGGGGTAGTTTGAGCTGGGCCCAGTTTCACCAAGCTCTGTTTGGGGTAGTTTCGGCGAAACTACCCCAAACCAGTTTCACCAAATGGGGTAGGTTCTGATTGGCCACTTCCAAACTACCCCATGAAGTAGTTCTTATTTTACCCCAAATTTGCCATGCAAACAGATGCTCACGGTCCGTGAGCAACTGAACAAGCCAATCAATCAGCTGATTATCGTCGGTTCTACCCCAAATATCCGACCAAAATTACGGCAGACATTCGTGGGGTAATCTGTGAATATGATACCAATTGTGAGCAAGAATTGACAGTAAAATAGTAATAAGAACATAATTTATTGACGTCCAATCACCTGTCACACTTACACATTATTCATAGCATACCTACTTCAAATTTCATCCAAGTATTTTACTGCATGTAGCCTGCGCCACCTATGCTTGTGATCTACAACCCCAAAAGAAGCATTATAGATGTCGCCCATAGCTGAATGCCAGGAATTTTACTTTTTTAACTATTTAAGGTCTTCTTCAACAGTGACCTTGAATACCGGATGAGGAAGCCTTGAAATTATATAAACAATAAAAATGCACATTCTTCACGGTGGTTACATGCTGCGTCTTGTTGAAATGATCCAAGTACTTGTGTGATCTATTCATAAGCGTAGGAACCATGGGTGCAAGGGTGCAGCTGCACCCACAATATTTCTCAAGTGGGTGCAGACAATGTATTCTGCACCCACAATAATCTGAACAAAAACCCCTTTTCTCATCAGCACTACTTCTCATGCAGCACGGCAAATTCAGGATATGTTGCCTACTATCCATCTTTCGAAGCATTTGCTTCTTTGATGGTCTTCAAAACTTACATTTGTGCTGAAAAAAGGGAAATGGAGCATGTGATTGAACACATACCTATCGAACCGATGACCCGCTGTCAACATTTTTAGCCCGATATCTTCGAAAATGGCTAAGTTGGCCGCTTTAACTTTTTGCGGTAGTCAATATTGACAATATTAGCCCTCGCATGTGTGCGGCGTTTTCCAGCTTCTAATGTGTAGGGGGAGGGGGGGGGGGGTCGGTCGGACCCTTCTGCCGTTCGGCCCCTGATCGAGCTAGAGCTTCGCAGAAAAAACGAGGGTGCTGCCCGTGACGAGAGGAAGCCGATGATACCCAATTTTAAGGTCCTAGGTCATTGGTTGACCTTCCAGGTCAGGTCAATATTCCAAAAGTCGCGGAAATCGGGACCTGCTATAGAACTGCGTAAAGTAAAGCTGTTATCGGGTTTTTCGGGGTGCTGATCACGAATATCTGATGTTAGTTTTGATCACAGATGATTTCTTCATGCATTTAGGCCAGATCGGGTCAGGTCAGGTCAGGTCAGCCATTAGGCGTCCTACCGGCTATCCATAGTAGGTGTCAACTACCACTGACGGCGTCGTAGCATGTTACGAAGGCACTAAAACTACTTTGTAAACGTTCAAATGGATGCTAAATTCGAAATCAGCCCGATAAACTACCCTAGAAACATGTAAAACTCGAAAAAGTGAACCGAGGTCATCAAAGGTCAATGACCTGACCTGACCTTCAGGTGACCTTGACACCCACCGTGATGCATGGTAAGAACATCATTTCACATGTTTGGACGTCTACAATCACAAAAAGACTGGAAACGCGCGGATAATGTGAGCTGACATACGCCCAATCGCGATTCCGGCCGAACATGGTCTCGAGAATCAGGTCACAGGTCAAAGGTCTTTTGGGTCAGGGTCATGAAATTTTCAGAGTAGGTGTAAAACGGATCAACTCGAGGGTATTAAAAGTTTTTTCGCGATCGGCCGCTTTTTGCGCGAGTTATTTGCAAAAAAAAAAACATGGGGTTCATCTGACCACCCTACACATGCGAGGGTCAATGCTTCCAAATGCACTTATCGGTCGGTACTTTAACGACATGGTACACCCTCAAAGCTCGTAGCGAGCCTTCGCTCGGGTGTCGCTCCCTACCCCCCCCCCCCGCTTTACCGGCCATGGTTGGATTTCTGCAGTCTGCAGTTGCACCCATGCACCCACAATGTTCCAGCCGTTCCTACGCCCATGTCTATTCAAATTATCATTTGAGCCTATATATGGCCTTGATTTGAGGCATCTATGTATTACGGTCAATGTGCAAATATCCAGCAAATATCAAGACGCTAACAACTGAAATCAATATAAAAATGCCGTACCTAAATCAGCAAGAGGATGTGTCGTGCATACCTAGGTAATTCTCATTAGAAATAAAAAGCATATGGTGCACGAAATTCGTAAGAAGCAGTTGTTAAAAATACCAGGCCAAGTGGATTCGGTACTTTCCATATTTTTTTTTTTTGTCGCTGTTGTGCATATCTCAATTAAGTTGCGTTATGTGCCGTGCATCTGTAATGTATGTATTTTGTAATGCACATTAGAAATGAAAAGCATATGGTGCAAAAGATTCGTAGTTAAAAATCGTCAAAAATACCAAGCAAGGTGTATTCGATACTAAAACATGCACTAATTTACTAAAACATTCTAATTATAAAACACTAAACATCTAATCTAATTTAACATCTAATCTAATCTTAAATATCTAATCTAAACATCTAATCTAAGCATCTAATTTACTAAAACACTAATTAATATTAAAACATTCGATACTATTCGATAATAAAACTAGATAAATAGATAGGTATTCGATACTGTAACCTATCCATCAAGATTCGCGGTTGTGCATTGCATTCCTTTCTCAATAAAGTTGTGAATCTTGGAAACTGAGGTGCCATGGTGCCATCGTTACCAAGGTGATTGGTAGACAAATACAAGAAGCCAAATCGAATGTGTTCTTCATTCCACGCCGTCGTGAAATGAAATTCTCGACCAATCAAAACGTTCCGTTGTTTTGCTGATGCTGCTTGCTTAGCAAACATTCACAAGAGATGCCGAAACTACCCCATGGGGGTAGTTTGAGCTGGTGAAACTGGATTTTATCCCATGGGGTAGAATGGAAATCTACCCCATACCGAAATTACCCCACTTGGTGAAACTGGGCCCTGGTGAAACTGGATTTTACCCCATGGGGCAGAATGGAAATCTACCCCATGCCGAAATTACCCCACTTGGTGAAACTGGGCCCAGGTGATAGTAAAGCGCATAGCACTGATAACTAAAAAAAAGGCCTCGAAACTGCAAACCATACTAGCTCATGCAGTGTCCAAAGTCAAACCACGCAAGGAACCGTGAACTAAGAAGGTATACGTATCGCATTTAAAACTGAAAGCTTAGACAGCATATTATGCCAACTTCACTAACAAATTATGGCCAAATGGATTTCGAATTCAGACAGACAACCAATCAAAGTCAAAATCTGAAACGGCCTTGCATAAGACGGTATGATATGATAACACATTTGGGCATGTAAATATTTAAGGTCTGCGCTCCTTCTGTGACGAGTCATCAGCAATAAGCGTTGTCTGACCTCAGTTGACCTTAGCTGGCCACTCCCTTGGGTAAGCGGCGCGCATAAATCAAAACCTTAGTCAGAGGTGGAGAGAGACTTTAACACAAAGGCAGCATAAGAAATGATGAAATTATCGGATATCCACGATGTTGTCAGGATCCGTTATTTTATAATTTCCCGTCAGTTTTAACATTATAAGCCAACGCCTGTAGATGATCTCAGGCCAGCAACTTAGAAAACGTGAACTTCCTAGTTCTTACAATTTGGTAAGCACTGCTTAATCTAAAAGTGCGCATGAAATCGACTGAAAATTGCGTGCTGACCAGGAGAATAAGAGTTTTTCGAATCTGACTATGTGCCGGGTCTATAGGTGACATAAGTTATCAATTACCACCAAGACTTCTTATTAGCAGTACCTAATTATGTTTCCCCTTAGGTGCCTCAAAGGGAATGCGAAATTTTGTGTCATGCATTTAGGTACTTACGTGCCACTGGCATTGGTCCTTACTCGTGCCGCGAATGCTTAGATTCTGCATGCGCCCCCTGGTCGGGGGCGAGGTCGGAGTCCCCCAATGCTCATGTGCTAGGAGTCCCCCCATACCCTCCCCCCTCTTCAGGGTGGCTGGTGGCAGCGTCCATTTCACAATCCACAATGCACATTATCGGTCTTCAACACAAACGATAGATATGATGGGGTGGATCCAAGGGATGGATCAACACAAGCCTTTACCTACTGAGCGAGACTGCGCTTGGCATAGATGTCGCTAGCTACTGGCTCATATGAGCTGTGTGAAACAGGCATTCAACCGAATTTACTATAGATGTCGCTAGCTACCGGTACTAGCAGGATTGCGACTACAGAATGGTCTCGGTCGGGTCGGTCGTCATGGATTGAAGGCTGAACTGAAGGTATGTGCATACAATATGCATACAGTAAACATCCTACATACAGACCTTAACTTACATGCTTCCCCTGGGCTCAGGTGCGTTTTTGCGTTCGTCCATCCAGTCCTCCGTTCGTTCGTCCGTTCGTTCGTCCGTCCGTCCGTCCGACCGACCGTTTGTTCGTCCGCCCATCCATCTATCCATCCATAGACATATGCATGCATAGGCACACAAATGCACAGGCCGTCCGTTGTGTCCATCCACAGAACATTCAAATCCTTCTCCTCGACGCTGCAACCCTCAGTCCGGGCTGAACAGGCAACTTTATCTCATGCGGGCTGCTCCCTTGGAGCGGCACCGCTGCTCCCGAGGGAGCACACCCGTAGACGGGTGCAGCGAGTACTTGGGGGGGGGGGGGGGGGCTGGCCCCGGTGACTCGCTAGGGTGTCTGCCCAGACCAATGTCTCCCCCTAATTCCTATCATCCTTCCGGCTCTGAAATGGTCTTGTTAGACCGAAAGGTATAACCCAACAAAACAAACAACACAAACGCACACATGATAACTCACTTGTGTATCGTGGTTAGGAAATGAACTATATAGTATGTACAACTACTTCTCATGCTAATGGCGGAGAAGGTTCGTCTACGTATTTGCATCACATAATAAAGTACATATACATTCTTGTGTGACTTTGTCGGCATCGGCCTCAATTCGCTAGCTCGAATATTCTGCGGCGATTCGTTACATTGGTATGCCTTCACTAATATCGCGGTCCTTTGTGCTTTGTTACCGTTATCTGCAGGAAAAATTGCGTAAGCTCAATGAGTTGCCCCATTGGTAAAAGCCATGAGTATCAAAAGTTGCGTTGACTCTTGCGCAATTTTCCGGGCTCGATCATTTATTTGTATTAGTTGGGAGCAAGGCTCTTTCGGTCTAACGCGACCCTTGTATTGTTATGAGATGGAAGGGTAGGGCGGATACATTGCGGCTGAGCGGATCATCAATTCTGGTGTGCCGCAGCGGCAGAGACCGTCCCGGAGCCGTGAGACGGAAGTGTCCCGCTGGGACCGGCGGTAACACCCCACCCTGCCACTCGAACGGTCAAGTGCGCCACACACAAGATTTTCCTCATCTTTGGAATGATACAACTCATAGCCACCGCTGCACCGGGCTGTTTGGCGTGGATTACCGTCAGCCAGAAAAAGGTAATGTGAGCTAGTCTGATTCAGTGTGGCCAAATTGGTGATGTTGCGGGGAAAGTCACCCCTAATGAAAAGTATAATGACATCCTCAGAAATTTTAAAATTACATCATCACCACGTTTTTGTCGTGAAAGCATACCTAGTGTAGGAATAAAGACTAAAAATGTTCCAATGTACGATTCGCACCGCCATACTCGTATTGTCGCGCTTGCAATGTTGTTTTTGTTACATCTTTAATGACAATATTTGGAGTTTTTTTTTTGTACTTTCCACCAGAACTTGATGTCAGGTATAGTTTTTCCACATTACCTGTAAAAACTGCACCTAAAATGAGGCTGAAGACGAGTTTTTTTTTAAGACATCCTAGTACGACTTTTTTAATACATCCTCCCCCTAACGCTAAACCAATTTGGCCACACTGGTCTGATTCAGTGTCGTATAACGGGTTCTGCGGTCGTTCCTTTACTGCTCCGTCTACCTCCGACGATCTCGGCGGCCTCCGCGGTAGTCTGCGAAGTAAACGCCTCGATCCAGGTCCAGTTGAGGCCGGCGTGCCGCACGTTATTCTCCACCCCCGTCTTCCGCTGGCCGTAGCCGGTCGGTTTAACCACCTCACCGCCACTCATATACGCCCCCCAGAACCCGAACGTGCCGTGGGTGATGATGAAGTGGTTACAGGCAGCCAGCAGTGCCAGGTCGGCACCGGGACGTGACTGAACCCCATCACCGGCCAGCACAATGTCTGAGGAGTTCGCTCGGGACACGAGCTCGCGTCGACACCACTCCAGATCATCGGAAACGACCACAAACAGCGCGTCTCGGTGGCGGCTCCTCATCAGTGCCAGGGCACGCTCCAGGAAATCTCTATCCACTAGCCTGCCTTCTACCATCTTGGGCAGCCACTGGGCGTAGTCAGTGCGGCGGACGTGCACGCCGATAAAGGTGGGTGAGGTCATGTTGACTTGGCGAGCCAGCTCGGCCAGGCGTCGATCAGCACTCAGGGGTAGCTCCGGTCGGAAGGTGAACTCTCGCAGAACCCGGTCACGTATTGGGTGGAACAGATGTACTGAGGTCGGGTACCCTCCGATTAGATAGCTCTGTTCGTCGTCTTTTGACGCGTTCTTAATCAGCGCATCGATGCTTATCTCCGTCCAGTTGTACTCACACCCGCGGGGCAGGGCTGGGGTCGATAGCGGTTCGAAGTACTTTTCGAGAATGTCTTTCATCTCAGCAAGCAGCCAGACCGGTCGCTGAAGGATGTGACTCGCCGCCAGAAGCGTGGCGTACTCAAACATGATGTTACCGAGTCGACCACCCTTGGCGGCGGAGATCAGGCACTCTGACGGCGGACAGGCTGGGGCTGCTGACCTCTCCAACCGCTGCTCATCCTCCGGCGAGGGGCGCGGTCCTTCCAACACCTGAGGTCGGCTCTTAGAGAGCGCGTACAGTGCCAGCAGGGCAGCACAGATCAGGAACAGGCGAGCGATGGACCTCCGTCGACCCGCTGTCAGACACCAGCTTCCGAGGTGTCCCAGCGCAGACATCGGGCACCGGGACGGAGATTGCGGCGGCTGGACACCTGGCAAACTTGGCACTGATGCTGAAAGGAGAAAACAGTTTGAAAACTCTGCATAGTTAAGACTGTGTGGCTTCTAACTGATGCCTAAAATTGCTTCTAGATGTATTAGATAGCCTTGTTACACGCGCATAAGCGATGGGTTCGGTCGCATGTGGGCCGTAGCACTTTTATTTATAAGAACTACAAAGGAGAATCAAGCAGCGTGGTGAAACAGATTAACGGTTTGGGTATTTCACCAACAACATATGTTCCTTCTCAGTACACTTTTTGCCTGTGCTCTTTTCCGTTTTATTATGCCATGGTACGCGCTGCAATCCCCGGTCCTCGGTGTTATGTTTCGATGGTGCGTTGCAGTCTCCACTCTGTTGGGTTATGTTGCGATGATCTGTTGCAGTCTCCTGCCTGTAGCGTTATGGAGCGATGGTTTATTGTAGTTACCTGTCTGTGGTGCTACGTTGTAGTGGGTAGCTACGGTCTCCTTTCTGTAGTGTTGTGTTCTGATGGTATGTTGCAGTCCTCTGGTGTTATGCTGTGGTGATCAGCTGCAGTCCCCAGTCTGTGGTGTTACGGTGCGGTGATGTGTCGCAGTCTCCCGTCTCTGGTGCTAGAGTGCAATGGTCTGTCGCAGTCTTAGGCTGTGGTACGCTATGATTCGATGATTTGTCGTACTTTCCAGGCTGCCGTGCAATGGTCTGTTCCAGTCTCCATGCTTTGGTGTTACAGCGTGGTGATTAATGGCAGTGGTGAATTTAGTGCTCAGTTGTCTCGCATTTCGTGATAGTCAGTTGCAGTCTCTATATGTGATCTTGTGGTTCATCGCATTAACCAAGCCGCGTTGTTATGGTCTGTTCCTGTGGTCTCCGTGCTTTGTTGCTCTTGTATAATGTCATGTGATGCTTTGGTAGCCAACGGAGGTAATTAGGGTGCCCACCACCATTCAACTCTTTGCCACCAAGGTAAGCTAGGAAGTCAGAAAGCTAGGAGGCCTAGATCACATAGAACCTTGCATCCATCGCTGATTTTGACCTCACCTTCACTTGGCTTTCGAAAACTTAAACAAAGTATGCCAATGGATCGTCCTTTGAAAACCTATGAATGGCGTTTTCCCAACATTTCTATGGCCGTCTGATCGGAAGGTAGACTTTTGGCAAAGACTTCTTCCACCAGCAGTGCGCGTTTGACTTCATGGGCCCCAGCGGTACGTGGGTTAACCCTCGCCCGCACATGGGGGGGGGGGGTGGTTGCCACCCCCCAGGTAGTCTTTCTGCTCTGCACTCAATATTTTTAGAGCTAGAAAGCTGATTTTTCGTATAGCTGCTTCTCTATCCTTTCTTGATGTCCACTGAAAATTTCAAGTTTCTGTGGTTTTTTGTTTCGGAGATATGACCTTGTTTTTCAGGTCATGTCATGACCCAAATGGCCAATTCTCAACATCTTGCGTTGGCTATGGGCCTTGTGAGCTTTTAACACCTTGATTTCGGCCTTTTATACCAATCCTACCTCCCACCTATCATGAAACATGTTGTTCGACGATGTACTATTGGTCTCAAGATAAGGGTCCAGGCGGCCTGTAGGTTTGATGCGGTGAATACCTTCACCCTCGCCACAGCTCGAGTGGGGGTAGGGGAGGGGGTGCATTCGGCCCGAGTCTGACAGCGGGGTCGTTCGCCGCAGTGTGGTGTCCAGCGGCGCAGTCGGAATCAGGCGGAATTATGCCGGCGGCGGTAACCGGTCGAAGGGCCTGGCTCAGTCGCGTCTCGAGACGAGTTACCGAGCAGGGTGTCAGCGATAGATGGGAGGGGGTGTGGTCAGGGCGCCGTTTGCCCACCAAATCGGCATGCTGTCAGTTTGCTGGCGTTTCTCATCTTCTCATTGGTCATTGATGGACCACACGTGGTGTGTGCGATTGACCAATGAGAGACTAAGAGACGCCTGTAGGCTGTAACTGGCTTCCATGTATTGGAAAACCGACAGCAAGCTGAAAAACGACAGTGCATGGGGCGCACTAGCTTTGAAGGTCACTCCGCAAAAGCATAACTTTCCATGGTTGAGGGTGACGGGTGTTACCTACCCCAGACTTCTTGCGGCCGATTACTCTCAACAAGGCAACCATAGAAAGCTGAAAAATAGCACACCTGACTTGATTCAAGCCGATTCTCTGGTGACACCAACGACCAATTACATTTTCAATTCTTGTCGAGTCACTGACCTATTACCTCATAAAAGACTTCACTCGGTTCTAAAACATTAGGGCTTGGCAACTCCGTCATTGCTAGGTCAACTTCTGCAGGCAAATAAAATTCTTTTATATTTATATTATATTTATATTACTTTTATATTATATTTATTAATTTTTTATAAAGCAGTCAGGTAAAGCTAGGTCAATGACGTGACCTCACCATCGTAATTCAACAAGGGAAATATTAAAATTTATTTTGCTGAAAAAATGATTTAAGACTATCTTTGGACATGGAGTCGTGCTCGTATCGCTTCACTCCTTGCAAGATCGATGCTCAACTTTTGCGTTTTGAACCATGTGCAACGTCATAAATGACGTTACATAGATATCGGTGTTTTTTGTCATTAACTACCGTTCCAACTGAAATACAGGGTGGTTATATATTAAACCGCGAGTAGGCAGAACAAATCTTTTAAACGTCGAGCCGTTAGGCGAGACGTTTAAATGATTTTTCTACCTACGAGCGGTTTAATAATTTTATTCCCTACCGCCGATATCTTTCGAGCGCTAAATGATAAGGAATACATTTTATATAAAAATACAACAGATTTCGTACTAGACGAAATGTCTACTAGACGTTTAACAGTTTATTAATCGCCTAAACGTTTTACAAACCAATACACAATATTACACAATATACACAAAGTTACACAATATCTGATAGTTTTCTCTCTTTGCACGTGAAGCAATTGTAAACACTGTCTATGGTGCGGGATAAACGCATTTAAACATCCACGCGCTATCCTCTAAATTACAGGGTGATCAATAAAAGATGACATAAAGTGAGCCCCCGCCAGAGGCGTAAGACAATGTATTGCATAAACAGCTCACCGTTGGAATGATAAATCTTAGACATTTTACATCGCACAAACAGAAATCAGTTGTGACACTGGCCTTGGATGTCTTCAGTGGCCGTATTCACAATCACGGGTTAAGGGTAGGGTAGGAGTAACGGGTAACGGGTTATTTTTGTGGTCATATTCACAATCGAAGTTTACTCCTGATGGTCGCCCGGCGCCACGCAGACGGCACCTGGCCTGTGTGGTGCCGTCTGCGTATGATGATGACGAGATGTCAATCGAATACCAACTTTTTGGCATACCGATACCAAACCGATACCAACTTGGTATTTGGCGTTTCGAGGCTAAAACATTTGGTATTTTGTTGGTGTTGTGAATCCTCGCTAATGTAAAAGAGACTGTGACTTTGGTAAAAAGTTGGCATTTCCCTGATATTCCCAAGTCGGTTCGGTTTCGGTATTTTCCCACGGTTCCTGTTGGTATTTGGTTTGGTATCGGTATCACGACTTTCTGTAATTGACAGCACTAGTCCATATATTCAAAAAAATGCCTTCCCAGGTTTCTATCCATTGCGAACGTGAATACTGGACAGATTACTGAAGAATTGCTAGACTCTCTTCACCTTCGAGCAACTGAACAAGATCCAGCACCCCTGGTCACTCTGCAGTCTGGATTTTTCGTGCTTGGACCTCACCGTTTAACCTCAAGCAACTCAAGTTGCGGAGCGAACTCAAGAGTCCAAGACCCTTGATGAACTGAACGCTGCCGTGAGTCGTCGAAGGTTCGTCTGCACGATAGCCGGCGATCATTTGGGGCTCCAGCGGGGGCTTACTTTATGTCATTCACTAATGAACACCCTGCACTAGTGCACGTGACCTGACCTCAGAGGTCACATGTTCATCTGACACTTTTAACATGATTGTGAATCGCTGGGTGTTGTTTTTGTTTGCAAGGCTTTTAGCTTAATTATGGGCGAAACGGCGTCGAGGGTCCAGCACCCCCCCCCCCCACACACACACACTCTAGACCCCTCTCGGTATTCAGGAAGTCGATAGGTCCGACGAGGAATAACGGATACAACGACAACGAGGCACGTGCACTCTTGAAATATGCTTGTTCAGTATGGATTTGATTTTTGAGAACGTTTCCTTGCCTTGTCTATAAGCTGAAATTCGCCAATCAGTCTTATGTATTACCTAGCTGCATCGTTTCGAGTCCCATCAGTGGGAATGGCTTCTACACTCTACACTATTAGTGCTTTCTTGGAATGATATCACGTTCGATAGAAGCATAAAGCGAACACATAACGAACGGGGCGAGATTAAGATATTGTTTAATGGTTAACCCTACCGAAGGTTTAACAATGCAGTTATTGAAATGAACTGTTCAACAGTTGTTCAGCGCAATAAATGAGATTATACGAAACAGTAGGAAATTAATAGTTATGAAGGTTGAAATATGCCACCGTTAAGATAATGATATAAACAGCGACGTTGGCGGCGGTATGCCGATCATGACAACATTATAATTGCTACGTCTTAAACAAATTGCCACGTATTGCAGCCTAAGTTGAAACTGCAATGAATGATGCGTGAGCTATATGGTCCGGCATAAGTTTTATCCTCTAAAAAAATATTCTCTCTAAGTTGCTACATAGGGGACAGCGAATCTTTTGCGTTCAGTTTATTCCCCACGAACAGGGATTTACATTACGAACGCAAATTTGCATGTTGGTAACTAGGTTGTGCAGTAAATACGGCTGGATTTTTTTTCCTGCCCGTTTGAGCTGTAACGACAAGGCGCCGAGGCTAGCAGCCGGCTTCTGTTTGTCCAGGTCCTGCTGGACGATAGCCCGAAGTTCGTCGATCAGGATGAGGTCTGGATGGCAGCCGGCTAGCATGTCTTTCCTTCAGAAGTCTGGCACGTTCAATTCGCACCACCG